TAATTGTGTAGGGTTGGCATCCGAGGACGCTCATTAGCTGCTTATAGCCCAGTGCTCTGTAAGTAACAATGTTGTAAAGATATGTTCAATTATGAATATTTCCTGAATGAGCAACTGTTCTATTTACTGAAACATTATTGTTTAATGAATGAATGTTTGTCCTATTTGTAAACTGTATTCGTGGCACCCTCAGTAACTTACTGTTACTGTACTGACCCGCCACCTACTTGCCACCACCACTCACTACCCACCTGCCACTACCATCCACCACCAGCGGTGTCTATCTCCCACCTACCTGCCACCCACCCGCCACCACGACCCACCCACCACCACCCACTACCCGCCATCACCAGCTACCCACCACCCACCGTTACCACTTTCCACTATCGTCTTCCGCCGTCATTTGCCATTTCTCACTCTTTTTTATATTTTTAAAATGCTTTAAACATTTTGTCAATTACCAAACGCGTTTGTAGTTTATGTTTTTCTAAAACTAAACAAAAAATAAACAAAAACCAATTTATAAAATTTTTATAAATATAAACTGAAAACGTAAATGTTACCAAACATACCCATAGCATTTTTGAAAAGATACAAAAAAGAGTTTGGGAGAGCTTCTAGTTACGCAACATAAATTTCTCTTTATACGTATGCACCAACTTTTTTTTTTATTTTTATAATGCATAAAATGGATGTCATAAAAAATTGAAAAATGATTCACGGTCAACTTTTTAGACTTAATAATAGATCAAGAAGATAATTGATTGATAATTAAAAAATATTTAATCATTAACTAATCATTTTATCAGTGAATCTAGAAAATAGGTATAATTTTTTAGCCTGGATAGTAATATTCTAAAAAAATTTATAGGTGTAAATAATGGTGTTCGCAGTGCGGTTCGGGACAATTTAAGAGTAAATTACAAACCGAATGGCGGATTGGAGAATTAGCGGATTGGCAAATTACAAATTTAGACGAACTGAAGAATATTCTAACCAATTATTAAAGATTTACATAATATATAACACTAATTTGTATAATATTTTATATATATAACACAAATTAATTTTGCATAATATATTTCATATATATAACTATTAATTTGTAATAAATTTCACATCTTAAACATTTCTCACACTCATTTTTATTTTGATGTTTCATTGAAGGTTAAAAAATATATATGTATTAACTATAACAGAGCAAAACAGTTCGGAAAGTGGATTACAAATTTTAAAGTTTAAGTCACGGTTAGCGGATAAAGCAGTGCAAATTAATGAGGAGCAGTGTAATTTTAGTGGATTGGGTAATATTTTGTACAATTCTAAGTGTAAATTAGGGGGGTTTTGGCAAACACCAAAAAAACCAGCTTTTTTGCTTTTTGATTTTTTTGAGTCACATCACTCTTTATTTTTTTATTCAAAATAAGTTAAAAGTCACAAAAAAAAGTCAAAAAAGCAATTTTTTACTAGCTTTTCAAAACACCACTGAATAGAAAGAAACGCAGAGAGAGAGAGAGAGAGAGAGAGAGAGAGAGCCAAACACATTTTCATATAATGAAAACCAAAAATAGATAGATGGATGGATAGCATACCTCAGTTTGTGAATTGGACACTGCTATATGCAGCACAGTGTTGCCTTTCTCATCTTTCGAGTTTAACAATTGTAGATTTAGGGATCTGCGAAGCCATCCCAACAGCACTTTACAAGCTTCTAGCTTGGAATTTTTCACAGCAATGTGCAGGGCAGTCTCAGCTCGAATAGTCCGGTCCATTATTGATTCTGGACAAGCCAATAGAAATTCAGCCAAAAGATCAACGTCGCCGTTTTCAGCTACGTAGTGCAAAGGAGTGAAGCTCTCCCTCCCTTTGACTCGTATGAGCTCCTTGTCAAAATTTATGAGCTGTGTTATAGTCTGAGTGAGCTCCTTTCGCAACTTGCTTTGCTCTTCCCTATTTGGCAAACCCAAGTCTTCCAAGTTTCTTCGGAGATCTTCCCTTTTTCGCAAAACTACATCCAAAGAGCTTAGCCCTTCTGGGTTCAGCTTCTTACTGAATGATGGCTTTAATCTCATCATTTCTATAGCGAAATGGGCATGTCCAGCTGAGGCAGCTATGTGTAAAGGAGTATCAACAAAAGGGATCTTATCTATACCATCCAAAATATGTGGATCGTCTTTTATGCACTCGTACAAGAAATCGATTTTTCCTGCTTCAGCAGCTGCCATCAACCTTTCTCGTGGAGTCTGTTGCTGTTGAGGAATTTCTACCTGTGCCATGACCTGTGTGACTAATAAGAATACACGGGAGCTCGATTGAAGATTTGCTTTTGGTGATTCTTTTAAGACACCTGAAATTATACTTAGAGTTGTGCTTAAAAGGAAGAAAGCGGTCCCTTTTTATAGCAAAAACTCTACTGACCAGAATTTGGGTTCAAGAAAATTAGCAAAAAAAAGTAAAGTGTAATTAAATTGATGTGTCGCGGAATTATACTTAGAGTGAATGTGAGTCGCCCATCATTTTTATGTATAAAAGTATGAGTCACTCTAATTATACTCTTCATTTTTTATTAGTTAAATTATAAATAAATAAATAAAGTAGTAATTCTTTATTTTGTCTAATTCTACTTTCTTTATTTTTATTTATTTATTTTTTTTTATCAATGTATTTCATCACTACTATTTATTATATCTATTTATACACACAAACTGTTTAAAGAGCCTCATAAGACTCTTCAAATGTAATTAACCTTGAAGAATTTTGTTAAAGTAACTATTGTAATAGCTAATCTATTAGAGTGACTAAAATATAATAATGTTAGTTATAATGAATAACAAGACTCATTTAAAGAGTTCCTTAGAGATACTATGAGTATCTAGAATTACTATGCCTTTCATATTAGCGTGAGATCATTTTAGGTGAAATTACCAATCAGTGCTAATCTTCAAAAATTATTATTAATGAAAAATTTTATAATTTTAATTATTAATATTTATAATATTTATCACATTTCAACAATTTTTTTCTTGACCCCATTGACCAATTATTTCCCCATCGTTATATGGTTGACCTCAAGAATTTGGGTGTGTGTATATATATATGTATAGGGTTTGAATTGTTAGAGGGTGCTGTCAGGACCTGTAAGATTCACAACAGGTTCTATTTTGATGGTTCGAATATGATAAACTTAACATATTACAATTATTAAATCGATTTAATTTTTTTTTTATATAAATAATAAACACGAAAGTTAAACTCAAATTCAACCATTCAAATCGTTCAAATAAGACCGAAGCCTGACAGTCAGATTGTGACCCATTGTGGGCCTCAATTGTGACCCATTGTGAGCCTCAATGGCTGCTCTAATAGTATAGATAATAATATAGAAATATAGACTAGTAATTACCAAACAAAATCTCTAATTTATATGGAAAAAAATTAATATACAAAGACCCAAGTCTTTTCTTTTTGGTTCGTGTTGGACCGCTGCCAACAACTTGGCTACGGGGGTTGAATAGAGCAATTAAAATTTTTCATTAAATTAATTGCTTAGCTAATTTAACCATTGTTGAAATTAACACATCATAAAGCAATCCACACAATACGACAGTATTTTTAACATGGAAAAGGGATTAAAACTAATCTCAAACACCAAAATCAAATCCACTATAAGGTTTATGAATGTACAAGACATAGAGAGGAAGACTTGTACTCGTTCATTTAGATTTACCAAACTCACATGACTTGAAGAAACTTCATGAGCGTGATCTAACCCAGTCAACTTTCTTGATCTTTTATACACTATGAAGCGGTAACATGCCAGAGTTTTTGTAAAAGTAACTCAAGAAAATTCTCTAACAATGATTGAAGATATCGCTTCCAGAATTTAGAGATATTGGCTCTGTAAAACTATAGTTGGGTTATTGAATAAAATATGAAGTAGTATTATTCTAACTCAAAAGTTAGATTCAGTTTTTAAAGCTAATGATATGACAATCTTTTAGAATATTCAAGACAATTTTTTATTTCATATATATTTTTTAATTATCAGCTAGTCATCTATATTACATATCATTTTCTTACAATATAATTATGTTTCACTTACTGAGAGGGTAATTTATATAAAAATTGGGCCGAGCTAGGCCGTTATGGGCCTCAATGCGAAGGGCTAAGTAAAAAGGGCATAAAGTTACTCCGTCCCAAGGAGGTTAGCTCGGTTACCATACTAAAACTTATACCGGTTATGGCGCAGTATGGTTAGCTCGGTTTAAACCTTGCTAAAAGTTAGCTCGGTTTAGACTTACCATGGTTTGTACAGGAGAAACTGAGGTAAGGGTAGTAAAAGGACGAACCAAACTAAGGATAGTTCGGTCTGTTCTACGGCTAAGCATAGCCATGCGTACCTCGGCCACATTGGAGTCCGACCATGGTAAAACCATCTCACTGGTTTAAACAGTGAAGGGGGTGTTGAAGGATAAGCATTATCTTTCAGGAGTATGAATCCTAGGAAGACTCTACGTGGAGGAGTAAGAGTCCTACTTGGATTGTGCCATACGGAACCTGTAAAAGCTCACAAATATCACCTATGGAGAGGTAACACAACTTTGATTCCTGGATATACAGAGCTTTTGTCTTCTTGTCTATTTTATTGACTTAGGCATCGGAGAGGTTTCCGGCACACACCCGCCGGCTAGCTCACGTTTGTGTTTTCAGGGAGTAAAGCGACAACGTTTGGAGGAGCACAGACTTGATTAACAGGATTATACAAGAAGGTTTATTTCTTTCCCGTACAATTGGCGCCGTCTGTGGGAATATCAGACTAGAACAAAACCTCTTGATCAAGCTTTTCCTCTTTAGAAACAATGGCGCATAACGAAGATTTGCCGTAGTCCGTCATCGACGGACAAACACCAGAGGGGGGTGCAAGGTGCGAAGGCCTACCTTCTATCCCTCCCATGGCGGACTTGAAGCCTCAGCGACAAAATCCCAGGAGGGATGCAAGGGGAAGGAGGCGGACTAACAGCCCCCGTCACTCTCGTTCTCGAAGTCCTGACAGACAAAGGCGAAGGATTGATCCTCAAGTTCTGGAGGACCGCGTGAAGGAGCAAGATGAATTAATAAAGAAGATGGCGGCGAACATGGAGGCCATGAAGCACCAGATTAAGGGAAAAGGGGTGGCGACAGGAGAGGGGCGCAAAGGCAATGCGCCTCCTCGCCACTCAGAAGATCGTAGTAGACATTCCACACCATCACGAACAGAGAGTAGAAGCCTCAGGACAGGCGATACTCAATCCAGAACCTCCAGAACTCGTTACTCCAGGTCTGAGAGAACGAGATCATTGAGGTCTTACATTGAGGGAAGTACCTATCGACCCTCGCGCTCGCATCAGACATCATCCAGGTAGACGGAGTTGCCAAGATCATCCGATTTGCAGATCATGTTGGAAGAAAAGGCACGATGGAAGGAGGACACTAGGGCGTGCATAAAAATGCGCCCCTACCTACAGGCTTTCTTCAGCCCAAATTCACTACGTACGAGGGGAAAACGGACCCCTACATTCACCTAAGCCACTTCCGCCAGGTTATGGCGATATATTGGCGAAACGAGGCTCTAATGTGCATCCTCTTCTCGTCAAGCCTTGGCGATCTAGGCTTGACTTGGTTTGAAAAACTCCCAGAAGGCAGCATAGCCTCCTGGGTGCAATTGGCAGAGGCGTTTGTCACAAGGTTTAGAGCAAACACCAAAACCTCGGTGGAGATTGACCAACTACTCTCCATCAACATGGGCGAAAAGAGACACTAAGATCCTACAATAGTCGCTACTGGGAGACATTCAACCAGATTGGGGACTGCCCCACCAATCTCGCCATTGGACAGTACAAAAGAGGCCTTCCAGTCGGGAATAGACTAAGGGACTCGATCACCATGACACCACCCCTCACCATGGAAGCCTTGATGGAAAGAGTTCATCAGCACATCAGGGTGGAAGAGGATGGCGCCTGTGCCAAAACAAAATCTGGCACGACCGCAGTACCAGATAAAAAGACTGCAGCAAAGATCAACACGGTAGAACGTCCGAACAAAAACGGACGAGGCAGGCGAGACAACGGTGAGGACCAGGATAAAAGATGGCTGAGAGTCTGCACTGCCATAACCACGGTATTCAAGAAACCGATCTACCGGATTCTAAGCGAAATACGCGATGAACCTTTCGTCAGATGGCCAGCTAAGCTAGGAGAAGCACAGAAAAACTACGACGAAAGATCACGATGCACCTTCCACAAAGAAAAAGGGCATCATACTGAAAATTTCATGCCATTAAGACAGCACCTGGAGGAGTTAGTGGCAGCTGGTCACCTGGATAAATGCATTGAAGGAGGGACGCAACCAGCCCCCCAGGACCACAATAACCCCAATGGAATGCCAATTGACGCCCCACCTCAAGGAATAATCAATGTGATACATGGAGTATTCGAACCTGAGCGTGTATGCGAGCTCAAGGGTCGATCAAAAAGGCTGAGCAGTTAAGGGAGGTATTAAGTACCCAACCTACCATCAAAAATGGGAGAACAGAGGCCAAGAACGTCATGTCTTTTTCAGACAAAGACTTGGAAAGAATATATTGCCCTCACAACGATGCACTGGTCGTCACCCTCCGCATCAAGGACTACGACGCCAAACGAATTCTGATAGACCAAGGTAGCTCGTGTGAGATAATGTACTACGACACCTTCAAACAGCTGAAATTAGAGGACAAAGACCTGGCACCAGCTGTATCCCCCCTAATCGGATTCAACTCAATGCCAGAATGGCCAGTCAGCAAAATTATCTTGCCAGTCAGGGCAGAGAGTGTGACAAAACAAGTGGAATTTTGGGTGTTGAAGGTCCCTTCCACTTACAACATATTCTTGGGAAGAACATGGCTCCATGCCATAAAATCAGTAGCATCATCCTACCATCAAGTAATGCGGTTCCCCAACGATGCCGGGGTAATTGAAGAGGTCTTTGGAGACCAGATTATGTCCAAGCAATGCTTTGTCACGGTTAATGGTAGCCGCGCTACCAAGGGATATGTACATTCGGTGGAAGAACCTAAGAGCAATGAACTGTTCGCAGATGTCGGCAAAGCGGCTGATCAAAAAGCGGTGGAAGACTTGGTAGAGGTAAGAATAGATGAAAAGAACCCGGATAAGTTCTTTTTGCTCGGATCGTCGTTGTCCAGCACTGAGAGATTAGAGGTCTTGGAATTCTTGACCTCTAACATCGAAGTGTTCACCTGGACACCCTATGACATGCCAGGCATTAATCCAAACTTCATCTGTCACCAACTCAATGTCCACCCATCCGCCAGACCAATCATTCAGCGCACTGGCAGATCGGCCCTCCACCACGCCGAGATAGTGGCGGAAGAAGTGGGAAATCTGCTAGAGGCAAGAGCTAT